AACATTGGCTGTGGCATTCCCAACGGAACTTGGCCTTATTGTTGTGGTTGGTGAATGAATGGCCTTGGCATGCCTAATGGTACTTGCATGTTTTCATAATGCACATTGGGGTGAAGGATACCTTGTTGGTTTATGTGACCAAGGTCCTCTACATGGTCTTCATTATGTACTTCCATTGTAGAAGTAGAATGATTAAAATTACCCCTTCCCCTAGGTGTATGAATAATGGATCCAAGATTCAAATTAAGAGGGACAAAAGTAGGATTTAATGACCTACGACTATGCATGCACAAGCAAGACACAACAAGCGACAAACAATGAACAAACAAACTTCACATTCGTAACAAATCAATCAATAACAAACTTCCACCACATACCAATGATTCCATGCTATTAACAATATGCAAAGAACAATAAAATTGCCTCCATGCGGGCTCACGATTTATCTAAGAATTGAAATACAAGCCACCACGCCGGCCGACGATTTAACTAGAGATTGAGTTAAGAAAGAGCTCACAAAGGGTCCTTTAGCACTTCAATTCATTTTCCAATTTTAGCTTTACAAAATTTTTTAGATTTTAGCTTTTTCCTTGCTTTGCTTAGCTCCTTTGCTTGGAATGCTCCTTTGCTTGGAATGCTCATTTGCTCACCTTCTAACTCAATGCATCTAGTTAAACAAGAACCAACACAATAAGTAACCAAAATGAAAATGAAAATAAAGTAAAAACATGATCAAAAGAGTACTAATTCCTAATTGATTCCACAAATACGACGTTGCCTTTAATCAATCCCCAGTAACGGTGCCAAAAACTTGATGTGTCGTGGGACCAACGCTTGAAAAGTGTGCTAAGATGAGAATGGCCAAGTTTTACATTTATAATTGCCACTACTACCTCTAACTACAAAATATAGATAGGGCAAGTAGGGATCATCCCAAGGGATTGGTGGGTCGTACAAGGTTGTTGAAACAAGATTAGGGTTAGTAGGTCGAGTGATCAAAAGATTGGTTGGTGATTGAATTATATTAATGTGCAATTTAAATTGAAGTAAACAATAAGATGCAATAGAGAGAATAAAAGAGAGAGAGAGAGAGAGAGATCTTGGGGTTTAGAGGTCACCATTAAGCATAGCTTTTCTACACCTTTAATGAATGATTAATGAAGGGGAAAACATATATTGCAATAATAGTGTGTGTGTGGTTGTTTCAACAAGCATGGATAACCAATTAAGCATATATTGTCTAAGCAACATAATGGATAGCAAAATATATCAAACTAAGCCATTAATCATTTCTTTAAGCTCACAATCCAAACACATCACAAGGTTAGAGACATATGCTACTTGCATTCAAAAAGTATGGAACATCAAGTATGGATTGTCCTCCCATTAAACATCTAAACTACAACTACACTACAATTAAGCTAATGACATGAAATTAAACTAATTAAACTAAGGAAGAGGCATAATTCATCAAGAAATGAGTATGAACCATCAAATAAACCACAAGAGCATTCCATTAAGCACTATGTCTTGACAATCTCTAGATCTATAACATCAATACACATAGACATGCATCAATAACACAAGAAATAGAGACAAATACATGAACATCTATTTTAGCATACATAGACATATGGATGGAATGAAATGATCAATTGGAAGCATTAAACCACACAAATCATTAAATAAACAAGATTTATGTATATAAAAATGTCAAAACATGTATTACAACATAAATCCCTTAAAAAATACATAAATCAAGATATAGAAAGCATGCTTAGGGCTAACTCTAGCCCCAAAAGGATGTTTAGCCACTCATGGATGGTGTCCTCCAACCCTCAAGGGCTAACTCTATGGAAGAAATTGCTTCTCTTCTTGGTGGATGGAAGAACTCCAAGCTTTTGTCTCTAACTTCCTCTCTTTTTTTTTTCTTCCTTATTAAGAATAGCCTCTAAGTCTCTTCTTTCCTCCCTCCAAAAAGGTGCCTCTTATTCCTTATATATTACAACATAAAAATGTCAAAACATGTATTACAACATAAATCCCTTAAAAAATACATAAATCAAGATATAGAAAGCATGCTTAGGGCTAACTCTAGCCCCAAAAGGATGTTTAGCCACTCATGGATGGTGTCCTCCAACCCTCAAGGGCTAACTCTATGGAAGAAATTGCTTCTCTTCTTGGTGGATGGAAGAACTCCAAGCTTTTGTCTCTAACTTCCTCTCTTTTTTTTTTCTTCCTTATTAAGAATAGCCTCTAAGTCTCTTCTTTCCTCCCTCCAAAAAGGTGCCTCTTATTCCTTATATAGGTAGGTTAAAATGTCACCCTAATGGTCTGGGCTCGCACTCCAACATTCCTCCAATGATTAGCTATAAGATAGCTTTCAATGAGCTGGATTTTTGTCTTTTTGCGCACTTGGGGAAGTTCGATCGATTGAACATGGCTGAGATCTATCGAACTAAGGCTGGAATCCATTATGGCGACGCCTTTTTGGATAAAGACAAATCTGAGATATTTTGGAGATATTTTTTGGGAAAGAGACAAAAGTGGTAGGCGTTGTGGTACAATTGGATAAGATGGAATCTTTTCGATCGATCGAAAGAAAGTTGGATCGATCGAACTTTGTGGGATCTTTGGATAAGGACAAAATAGCTTGGATCCATCTTGAAGTGCTAAAATCGATCAATGTTGGATCGATCGAAGAAATTCCCTGATTGATCGAACTTGTTGAATTTCCACCATTTTCTTCCTTTTGCTCCCACTTTGCTCATTTCTTTGATTTATCTCAAAATTGCTTCATTTATGCTCTTATTTAGCTGAGTTAGCTTATTTTAGGGATAAGTACCTGAAAATGGAAATAACACGAAATCAATCTAAAGCGGGAAAATAAGATAGATAAATGTTCTAGAATGCCTAAACTTAAGGGCTTTAAATGCGCACTTTCCAGCGCTCATCACAATGCTGAAAGTAATGATAAAGTTTCTTGTCAAATTTGCGGAAGACCAAATCATTTGGCTATTGATTGTTGGCATAGGTTTGATTACTCATATCAACCTGAAGATTTTCTTCAAGCGCTTGTTGCCCTCGCTATTAATGATTCAAATGATCAGTCATTCTATGTTGATTCCGGAGCAAATTCGCACATGACAAATGATGCAGGTAAACTCTCTTACATAAAACCGTATAATGGAAGTGATGTGATTTATGTCAGAGACAGAAATAGTTTACCTATATCTCATACTGGTGATATTTGTGTTAATATACATAAAGGACAATTAAATTTAAAGGATGTGCTTGTGGTCCCTAATTTGAAAAAGAATCTATTGTCAGTTGGAAAGTTTACTTCAGATAATCTGTGTACTTTTGAATTCACTACTTCTGACTTTGTTGTGAAGGATCGAAATCAAAGGACAATAGTGAGGGGGTGTAAGAAAGGTCAACTCTATGCTTTAGATTGGATTCCTCAAGAGGTTCTTAGTGCAATAAGGAAAAATGGATCATCTGCAACCCTTTAGCATTAACGACTCGGACACCCGAATTCAAAGATTTTGTCTTTGTTAAAGGAAAAAAAAGTTATTGATGTTACCCATTGGATTTCTAAACCTTCCATATGTGTTAGTTGTCAAATGGGAAAGAGGTGTAAATTGCCTTTTCATTTTTCAAATAGAATTTTAAATTTCCCTCTTGAGAAAATTCACTGTGATCTTTGGGGACCTGCCCCTTTGGCTTCAAATCAACGGTTTCGTTTCTATGCAATTTTTGTGGATGATTAATCGAGGTTCACATGGTTATATCCTTTGCGAAGAAAATCAGAATTCCTTGATTGTTTTCTCAAATTTTAAAGGCTAGTAGAGAACCAATTTAATCGACGGATTAAGATTTTTCAGTGCGACGGTGGTGGTGAATTTAATTCAAATGATTTCCTTGATCTTATAAAAAATTGTGGGATTGAAATGCATATCTCTTGTCTAGGAACTCCTGAGCAAAATGGAATAGCGGAACGGAAGCATCGACATATTGTCGAAACAGGCTTAACAATGTTGTTTCATGCAAATTTGCCTTTATCGCTTTGGGTTGATGTTTTTCTTTCTGCAGTATATCTCATTAACAGATTACCATCTCTTATTTTACAGAATGACAGTCCTCATCATAAACTTTACAAATGACATCCTGATTACAGTGGCTTGTGGGTGCTTGGGTGTCGATGTTTTCCATTACTACAATCTCATGGTGGTAATAAATTTACTAAGAAAACGTATCCATGCGTTTTCATTGGCTACAGTCCCATACATAAAGGTTATCGCTGCCTAGAGCCCAAAACAAAGAGATTTTACATATCCCGGCATGTCGTTTTTTATGAAGAAAATTTTCCTTACAAAGCTCTATGTGATGCTCCTTCCTCTTCACAACTGATTTTGTTTGAGTTTCCTTATTTTGATGAATTATTTAACTCTACAAAGAAGGTAACTTTTATGCAAGATCTCTCTCACCAATCGGACCAGTTGATTGAGACAAATAAGGAAGCTTCGGCATCCTTAAATTCACTAGATTGTTGTAACAAAAATTGTGTTACAGGTTCAAATCAAAATTTTACAGAAAATATTGCTGAAATTTTGGAGTCTTCATCTCCTGCAAATCAGCCAAGTCTACGTGAAGATTTGGAGCCAGTCGTTGCTGCAAATCACGTTAATGATAACTCTTCATCTCCTGCAAATCAACAAAGTCTACATGAAAATTCAGAGCCAGTCATTGCCGCATCATCAACTGGTGTCTCGGCACTTCCCATCACAAACCGAGATGTCTTTTCTGACGGCTTACCGGACACTCATAGTGAAGTAATGCAAGATAGTCCAGTTGTCATCATCTCACATCCAAAAAGAATCCGACGACCACCTGTTTATCTCAATGACTATGCGCTCACCACCACCTCTGATCATGTGTCCCCATCCGAGCCTAAAAATTTAAAAATGGCTATCAAAGATTCATGATGGGTGACGGCAATGGAAGACGAACTTCAAGCTCTCCATGACAATCACACTTGGGAACTAGTTCCCCGACTTTCCGATATCAATATCGTCGGATCAAAATGGGTGTATCGTATAAAGTATTGAGAGGATGGTTCCATCAATTGTTTCAAGGCTCGGCTCATCGCACGAGGTTTTACTCAAGTATCCGGAGTCGACTATAACGAAACTTGCAGCCCAGCAGTTAAGCCAACTACTATTCGACTTGTCATGGCTTTATCTCTTTCCTTTAACTGGAGTATGCGATAACTTGATGTCAAGAACACTTTTTTGCACAGTCATCTTAAGGAAACGATATACATAGAGCAACCGCTAAGGTTCCAAAATCCAAATTTTCCTGATCATGTTTATTTACTCAAAAAGTCCTTATACGGTTTGAAGCAAACACCCCGTGCTTGGTTTGACCGTCTCTCATAATTTTTGCTCCACCTTGGGTTCTATTGCAGCAAGGCTGATTCTTCACTCTTTATTTACCGTGACAACAATTTCACTACTATCCTACTTATCTATGTAGATGACATTTTTGTTGCTGGTAACAATGACACATTCATTACAAATTTACTTACTCAACTTGGTCATGAATTTGTAATTAAGGATCTCGGTTCACTTCTTTATTTTCTTGGTGTGGAAATTCGGCCTTTCTCTAGTGGTATTTTTCTATCTCAGAAGAAGTATATACATGATCTTTTTACTCGAACAAAAATGCTTGACAGCTCTCCCATAGCTACACCGATGATCATTAAAGAAAAGTCAGCCTATTCTAATGTCGATCAAATTGATACCACTGTTTATCGTAGCATCGTTGGTGCTTTGCAATACTTGACCTTCACAAGACCCGACATTATTCATGTAGTCAATCGGGTATGTCAGCATTTTAACAATCCAACTTTAGTTCACATAAAGGCAGTTAAGCGAATCCTACAGTATCTTAAAGGAACTCAACATTTTGGGCTATGTTATCTTTCTCAAAGTTCTTCATCTTTGTATGGTTCTAGCGATGTCGACTGGGCTGGATGTCCAATTACAAGGAGAAGTACTACGGGGTTTTGTGTCTTCTTTGGTGCAAACTGTGTTTCATGGTGTTCAAAGAAGCAACCGACGGTTGCTCGATCTAGTTCGGAGAAATCACTTGGTTAACATTTTTGCTCAGAGACATTGGTATAGCACTTCGTTAACCTCCTCAGTTATTTTGTGACTATATTAGTGCACTTCATATGTCCGTCAATCCAATGTTTCATGCTCGATCTAAACATATCGAGCTTGACTATCATTTTGTTTGTGAAAAGGTTGTTGTGGGTACTCTTATTACACGATACATTCCTTCATCCTCTCAACCAGCAGATATTTTTACAAAACCGTTGCCCAAACAAGCGTTCACTTTCCTTCGCGACAAGCTGGGAGTCCACATTCATTCCCTCTCCAGCTTGAGGGGGTGTGTTAAGGAAAACTATCCCTATAATTATGGTGATGAATATACAGAGTTTGTTAAAGAAATAAATTCATAAAATTGTGGCAGTATTAAGGATGATCGTCAAAGGTCAATCAGAACTATTACACGTTAAATCACATCTATTACTCTTTCTCATTTGTCAAAATTTCCATGTAATTAGTGTGCACAAAAGGGTAATTAGTGTGCACAAAAGGTGTATATATTTTGTATGATTGATTAATGAAAATAATCGCTTCCCTTACCAAATTATTCAAATTCTTCAAAAGGAGTCAAAAACATCCCTGCAGTGGAAGTTTGGGGCTTCATTGGAGCCATTAATGACATACCTGGCGCAATAAATAGTGCACTAAATTCCACAACTCCCCATCGTCTACCAAGCAACGTTATATCACCCATGGCAGTGTCAAAAGTCTTCAGTTAAAAACAAAAATTTCACAATTGGGTATTTGTTAGAAATAAATAATAGGATGAAGTAAAAAACATTCAAGAATATTCTTCTTCTTCTTCTTCTACCTCTCTCTCTCTCTCTCTCTCTCTGAGCATGCATCATTTAAGTTAAGAGTGGTAGGTTTAAAAATAAAATATTAGTGATGACAGTTTAGCAACGTTTTATTAATTTATTTTGAATGATTGGAAAAATAGTATAATTTTTGAAAAAAAGAAAAAGAAAACTAGATTAGTTATATAGCAAATAAAGTTTATAAAATGACAAAAAGTCCAATTTATAGTAGAAAATTATAGACATATTTGAATTGCTAAACAAAAATTTGGTTTGCGTATAAAATTTTGAATAGAAATTGTAATTGCAAAATTTTATTATGTATCGCTTGACACTAAATTGTGAAAAAAATCAAAATTTTTGAAAGTAGAAAACGACATTGTCTGAGTTGTATAATCAATAATAAAGAGAAATCATGACTTTTTTTCAAAAGAAATGTTCTCTTGACGGGATTAATATGTAATCAAAGACTTGATAGATAAAAGTTTGGAGATTGGTTTATTATACCTTGTCGATGACACAATTAACTAATTCATCATAACTGCCTACGAACTCCTCAAACTTGTAGGGTAAATCATATGTGGAACTCAAATTCTTCACCACTGCTCTGAATACATCGACGCAAAAACCAGTAAAGTTCTTCTCATCTGACTTCTTGGTGGGTTGTTCTACCTTTCCAAACTGGTCAGAAAAAGTGTTGACCGGAACTCCGATTCTCATTGGATTTTCAACAGTAGGCATTGCCCATTCTTCAGCTTTAACATCTATCATTGCGCTGAAAGTGAGAATGAATGAAGCATGAAATAAAATAGAAAGGGGTAGCCAAACTGTATTTAGGGTTCTCATTTGGAGGCAATTTTTTTTCTTCCTTTATTTTTTTTGGTAAAAATGGTAAGTAGTATAAATAGAAGAAAATAGTACACAAATTGGACTCCTATGGGAGCCAAATTAAGAAGGTCGTTTAGACCAAGCCATCTTTTGATTTAGCAACAATTTCACAATATATATATATATATATATATATATATATATATATATTTCATTTGAGGCCCTATGACTTATGCATTTTTGCGGCTTACGATATTGAAAATTCTGGAATATTTGGCCAAGTCGGTGTTTGACGTTTTTTTGGTTCGCGTGTATTGAAAATTCTCCTATATCTTCTGACCCTTTTTTTTTTTTTTTTTTTTTTTTTTTTCATATATATCTTCTGACCTTTAATTCACGCATACCGGTATATATACACATGTCTATTAGAACTACTCATTTTCGATATCTGACTTTTTTATTTATTTAATTTTTTTATTTTTATTTTTTTATAGGTAGATGAAGCCTTTCGATGCCAGGAAAATAGATAACCAAAAAAAGTTATAGTATGGAAAGGAGGAGAAAACTTGGACCTTTAAAACTAATGTGATAATAGAATAATGTGCTAGCCGTTGCAACGGCTATTTGAACCTCTTCTAGGTTATTGGGTCCATGGAGTTGGGTCAAGGGGTTTTGCTCATTTGAGCCTTGTTAACCTATTTTTTTTTATATGGACCCACTGGAATTATTACTTTATTTATACTCGTATTTGTTTAAATTTCTGAAAAAAAAAAAAAAAAAAAAAAAAAAAAAAAAAAAAAAAAAAAAACTTGGACATTTCCTCAGGAGCCACAAAATTTTAAGAAATAGAAAAAATGAGGACAAACAATTTAAGAAAACATTTACAGCACCAAGGGTTGTATAGTTTAGTTGTATTTTACCAGTTTTTCAAAGTAGAAAGTGAAAGGTTCAAATTTTCATAGAAGCAAAAGTAGGAATGATTGTGTTTCTTGCCTTAAACCCTAAAAAATAAAAATAAAAACAACAGGAAAAGAAAACATTTACTGCAGCAAGCAAGCAAGGATGAAGAAAAGCTGAAAAGGCTGGAAAAAGAGGAATGAACACCTCACACTACCTAATGATCTCATAAGCTGACTGGACTTTTAATAAATAGATTTACATTATATATCTCCAATGGGCATATAGAAAATAAAATTCAATATTTTTCTACTCTAATACTTCTATTTCTGTTACTACTTTTTATAAACTACTTCAAATATTTATTATTATATATAATATATGTGAAAAGTATTTACAGTATTGAGTTTGGGCCATTTTATCAAAGAGGCCCAACAAACAAGTAGAGCATAGAACATTGACCAAAGTCTTTTGTTTTTTGGGGTAAATAGTTGAAGCCCAAAGTATTGCACGCAAATCCAACCCGATAAAAGGCCCAACAGGCTTGTGTAATCAAGTAGCGGGTGTGCGGTTGATCTGTTAATCTGGACAGTCCATACCAAATGTAAGATAAACGTGTGTAGCTAGCCAGCCACATCGTTGGATTGAGGGTTGATTTGTGGGTCATATGTCGTAATTGCATTGACAATGAGGACGACAGCTGACACCTTTTTTGTAAGTTGGCCTAGCCCTACACCACTGTGGAATTGATTTATTGATTGGAGCAGGGTTTAATCAGAGCATCTAAAAGTCCATACTCTCTACATGATTATTTTGTGTATTTCATTTGGAATTTATGGAATGAAATAAATACTTCGACTGTATTTGAGGGTCAAATAAAATCTTATCAACGGATAGCTGCTATTGAAAGCTTGTCAACAAGCCACGGCGGGGGTGGACACGGGGGTAGGTAAAGGTGGGCTGTAGTCTATTTAAATTTTTTTTTTTTTTTACTATACTAATATATTAGCTCAGGCCAAAAAAAAAAAAAATTAATAGTATTAGTCTACCCCAAAACTCAACGAAGCCCGAATAAATTCAGCCACCATACTAAAACAAAGGTCCAAACCAATTCCTTTGTATTCATGTTTAATGTTAGCCCAACCCCACCTAAAAATTCTGGACACGTCCACGGGCTATCTTAATTTGACTCATTTACAATCCACTCTTTTCAGTGTATTATTTCTTTTCTTTCTAGGGTATGTATGTCCCAGATACAATATATATATATATATATATATATATATATATTTAGCCTTAGACTGTTCATTTGTACTTTATTTCTGTATTAGTTAAATTAAACACATTCAGGAAGGAAAAAAAAAAAAAAAAAAAAAAATTAATAAGGTGAAAAAGGGAGTGTTTAAAAGGTAATGCTATAGTTATTTTCTATCTTGATATATCTTAAATAGATTCTACTATGTACCTACTTTAATGCTTTAAAAAGTCGCAAGTAATTTAGTTCAGGATTATTCGACCCCATTATTGACTTTAAAAATCATTTTTCAAAATTAAAAGAGGGAAGATACTACTATGCATTAATCAAGTTATAATTAAACTTCTGTACTCCATAAGATTTTGGTCCCTTGATTGTTTGGACAACGTGTAGGTGCCACTCTTTAATTCCACGCATAAGTACGTATTTTTTTTCCTAAATGATAATGATACTACTATGGTTTTGGCTAGATTGGTCTCTTTATTCACACTTAAACCCTCTTTTATGTCTCCTTAATTAAGTAAGTACATGGCTTTTTAATTTGCATTTGTTTTTGGAAATTCATATTTTTTTTGCATTGATTTGACTCTATGGTTTTGGCTAGGTTGGTCTCTTTTTCACACTTGAATTTGTAATTTTTTTTGGAAATTCATGTTTCACAAATGCCATAAGAGACGGAAAGTCAAAAAAGTATTCCACAAAAAGAGGAACAAAATATTGTTGGTCAACAAAGACACATGAAGGTCAGAAAAATGATAGATTATTAGGTAGATTAGTTAAATTCAGACTCTTGTTGAGATATATATATATATTTTTTTGTTATAAATTAATATATTTTTATGAGGTTATTTTTTCAGTGAAAAAGTCTAAATTAAATTGGTACATCAATTGTCTATGGCTTTGGTTCATCTAATAATTATGTTGTTGGTCAACAAAGACATATGAAGGTCAGAAAAATGATAAATTATTAGGTAGTTTAGTTAAATTCAGACTCCTGTTGAGATTTTTTTTTTTTTTTGTAATAAATTAATACATTCTTATGAGGTTATTTTTTCAGTGGAAGAGTCTAAATTAAATTGTTACATCAACTGTCTATGGCTTTGGTTCATCTAATAATTTCTCCATAAGAAGTTGTCCAAATAGAATTGTAGGTAAGCATATAAGTCATTTTTATAGAAAAGAGTAAAATGCTTTACTTAATCATGTAT